CCTGAAACCTAAATCTCACCCTAAACCTAACATTACATCCAAACTGTATTCTAACCCTATTCTCATCCTACACTGAATCTTAAACCAAAACCTAACCCTAACCCTGGCCACTCACCGTAATCGGTCTCCCTCACCCTCACCTTTATGACCCCTGACCATTAGCCTAAACCTAAACCTAACGTTAAACCTAACATTAAAACCATAACCAAACTATAACCGTAACTCTATTGTTACCAAAAACTGAGTTCTAATGCTAACCGTAACCCTAACCCTCACTACTCATCGTAATGGCTGATGGTCGACCTCAATTTCACCTATAATGAATCATAACCCTACACAGAATCTTAACCCTAACCCTAATGCTAACCATGACCAATCGCCCTAATGCCTCACCCTAACCTCACATTCACACCTAACTTTAATGCTAAATGTAATCCTAACACCAACTCTTAACACTTAACCCCTAAAGCTAATTCTAACCGTAATCATATCCTCACCCTACAGCTAACGTTAAACCTAATCCTAAATCTAACACCCTAAAATCCAGCCCTAAAATAGAATCCTAAACCTATATCCAAGCCCTACCATATTCTCAACCTTACACCTAACTGTAACCTAACCCTAACCCTAGTCCTAAAACAAATCTCTAATACTTACCCTCACCCACATTCATACAGAATCTTAACCTAAACCTTACTCTGATGCTAAACCTCATCCTAAACTGATATCCTAACTCTAACCCACACTATAACTTCATCCTAAAACTAACCCTACACCTAACCCTAACACGAACCTAACCCTTACCCCAATTCCTTACTCACACCTACCGGCAACCTGAAACCTAAATGTCATCCTAACCCTAACATTACAGCCAAACTCCAACTCTCCCTGTAACCCGATTCTCACTCTACACTGAATCTGAAAACTAACCCTAAACCTAACCCTGACTACTCAACCTAACTCCTCACCGTAACCTTTACCTACCCCAATCATTAGCCTAAACCTAAACCTAACACTAATGCTAACATTAAAACCATAACATGACTCTACATGTAACCTGATAATCACCCTACACTGAATCTTAAATCTAATTCTAACCCTAACCCTGGCCACTCGCCCTAACCCTTCACCCGCTCCCTCACCTTAACAACACTTAACTGTATTCTTAAACCTAGTCCTAATCCCAACCCTAAATCAGAATCCTAAACCTGACTCTTATTGTAACCATATCCTCAGCCTACATCTATCTCTACACCTACTCCCAAGGCTAGCCTCTAATCTTTACCTTACCTGTACTCATATGGAACTGTAACCCTAAACCTAACTCTGATGCTGACCCTTAACCTAAACCCTCAATATTAACTTTAATCTATACCATAACTTCATCCTAAACTAACCATACCCCTAACCCTAACTCTAAACCTAACCCTTAACCCCAAATTCACATACTCACCTTTATCTTCACCCTCATCTATGGATAACCTTAAACTTAAATCTTGTCCTAAATCTAACCTTACAACTGAATCCTAACTCTAAGCATAATCCTACACTGAATCTTAAACCTAACCCTAACCCTAACTGGCCACTCACCTTAACCACTCAACTTCACCATCACCTTTACCCACCACTAACCCTAACCTAAACCTAAACCTGATGCTAACCCTAACATTAAACCATAACCAAACTCTAATCATAAACCTATCTTCACTGAATACTAAATGCTAAATCTGACTGTAACCTTAACCCTGGACACTTGCCCTAATGCCGGACCCTCAACATAACCTTCACCCATACCTAACTGTATCCCTAAACCTAATCCTAACACCAACCCTAAGTTGGAACACTAAACCTATCTCTAACCATCACCATATCCTCACCCTATACCTAAATCTAAACCTAAACCTAACCCTCGTCCTAAGACTAACCTCTAAAATCACCATCACCCACACTCACATGGAACCATAACCCTAAATCTTACTCTGATGCTAAACATCACCCTAAACTCATATTCTAACTCTAACTCACACCACAACTTCATCCTAAAACTAACACTATACCTAATGCTAAACCTAACCTAACACTTAGCCCAATTCTTCACCCTCACCTTATCTTTACCCTCACCTACTGGTAACCTTAAACCTAAGTTGTGCCCTATCCCTACCATTACAATTGAACCCTAACTCTAACCATAACCCTATTCTCACCCTATACTGAATCTTAAACCTAAATCTAACACTAACAACGGCCACTGGCTCTAATTACTCACCCTAACCTCACCTAAACCTTACTTCACCCACATCTAACCTTAAACCTAAATGTAATCCTAAAATGAACTCTAACACTGAACTCTAAACCTAATTTTAACTGTAACCATATCCTCACCCTACACCTAATTCTAAACCTAACTCTAATCATAGTCCTAAGACTAACACCTAACCCTCACTCTCACACACACTCACACAGAAACCTAACACTAACCCTAGTCCTAAAAGTCACCTCTAACCTTCAACCTCATGCACAATCACATGGAACCATAACCCTAAACCTAGCTCTAATGCTAATCCTCAGACTAATACCATGCAATAACTCTAACTCACACAATAACTTCATCCAAAAACTAACCATACATTAATCCTAACACTAAACTAACCTGTACCTCTAGTTCTTCACCCTCATCTTTATCTTAACCCACACCACAATGCAACCCTAAACGTCAACCTAGCTAAATCTAACACTAAACCTGAATTGTATCTTCAACCATAACCCTATCCTCACCCTACACTGAATCATAAACCTAAAGTTGATGAAACCCAGGCCACTCACCGAAACTCCTCACCCTTACCCTCACCTTTGTACACAACGAAGCAGAAGCCAAACTCTAAAACTAACATTAAAACCTAACCATAATCCTACTCCTATACTTAACCCTAATCCTAACAACCCGAATACTAATATGAACAACCCTAGCCCAAACTGTTATCCTAATCTTAACTGTACCCATAACCCTAATCTGTATCCTAACCCTAATACTAAATTCAACCTACACTGAACACTAACCCTAACCCTACCCTAATCCTATCCCTACTCCTAACCTCTATCCCTAACCTAACCCTAACCCTAATACAAACTCCTAATCCTCACCCTCACAGAACTATAACCCTATACCAACCTCTGATGATAACCCTCACCTAAACCCAAATCCTAATTCTAACCCACATTGTAATTCACCCTAAATCGAAACCAATACCTAACACTAACCATAACGTCTGACCCATCACTCTCACCCTTATCTTCACCCACACCTCACTCTAACCCGAAACCTAAATCCCACCCTAAATCTAACATTAAACCCAGGCCCTAACTTCTACCATAACCATTTCCTCACCCTACACTGAACCCAAAACCTAATACTATTCCTAACACTAGCCACTCACCTAACTCCTCATCCCCACCTCACCTTCAAACACACCTAACTGTAACCCTAAACCTAAATCTAACCCCAACTCAAACACTGAACCGTAACTCTCAATGTAAACATATCCTCACCAACACCTAATGCTACTCCTAAAAGTAAGACAAACCTCTGACCCTCACCTTCATGGAACCGTAACCCTAAACCTAACTTGATGCCAACACTCAGCCTAAACTTAAATCCTAAATTTAACCCACACCATAACTTTATCCTAAACTTAACCGTACACATAACCCTAACCCTTACATTACACATACCCCCACATCCTCACCCTTACCCTTACGTTCACCAACACCTCACCATAACCCTATACCTAAATCTTGCCCTAACTCATAACTTTACAGCCAAACCCTAAATATACTCATAACCCTATGTTCATCATACACTCAACCTAACCCTAAACCTAACCCTAATCCTATCCTCACTCTACATTGAAACCTTACCTTACCCCTACCCCTACACTTAACCCTCATCCTACCTCTAAAACCTAAACCCTAACCCCAACTATAATTCTAACCCTAAGACAAACCCCTAAGTCTCACCTCACACTCACTTACTATACCCAATCAATATATTTCAGTCTCACGTGCATATTAACATATATTTCCATAGTCATTCAATTAATGTTGATGTCTATAACAGACAATAGAGTTGATAAGGGCCAGAACTGTGTCTATTTTTATATAAATTATGTCTCTAACAATTAAGACTATTCCATATGCAAAACAGGTGCTCAGTCAACATTTGCTGAATGAATGACTGGAAGAATGAGTGAATTCATAAACCTCTTTACCAAGTTATTCGCATAAGAGTAGCTGATTTTGATATTTGCTTCCATTACATTACTTTTCATGATTGGAGAAAAGAACATGAAATGATATATATGCTTCATTATAAACATTAAATGTGTGAATTAAAGATATGCTCTGTGTACTTCTTTTATAATAGTCAAGAATAATTAATGTGTCAGAAAGCAATATAGACTCTTTATATGGAATCCCATCTAAAGGAATTACAGTTTGTACAAATGCACAATGAAAAATTTTCATATTTATATCTACCTTGGTCTTTGTTTTTGTGGTTATTTTTAATTAACAAATATACTGGTCATCACTGGTGAATTATGCCTCTGGAATGTGATGGCTAACCACTACCCTTTTGCAGAGAATCTTTCTTTGGAAAACCCACATGGTATCTGGGAGCTGCTCCAGACACTTGCATTATCATTATTTTAGCAGCCTGCTGAGAATTCTGCAAATTGGAACTGCTGGAACAGGGGTTATTACTGAAATCCATCATGAAAAATGTCAGGGTGCAACAATGAAAGCAAGGAAGGAAATTTTTACCTAGTCAGGAATTCCTAAGTTACAGTGTTTAAGAATTCCAATCTCTTTGCATTTACATTTTTTACCATGTGTCCAGCAGAAGATTTAAAACAACAGCACCCTTTGTCTTACTCTTGGCTTCACTCAAGGTACATGGATTCTAAGACCAAATATTTAAGTTTTGCATTCTTTTCAGTACTTACTGTGGGATCTTTGCCAGCCATTTTGCACTCTTCAACTTTGATTGTAGATGCTGGCCAGAAAACCTGCTCAGAAAAGGAAAAAATGTTTGCATGATCTCACTTGTATATATGACAGCTCAATGCTCTTCAATTTTTACTTTATCCTAGCAGATTTTTTAAGGTATTTATATATTTATATTTCAAAATTCATATTTATAATTTGAATCTATAATAAAGATTTTATTATTTTATTCTAACAATTACTTTTTTATTTCTTCCATCAATTTTTCCTTTAACAAAAGCTTTTCAATAATGTGTGTCCATTTACTGATGGTATAGTATTTAAATAAAGTCATTAATGTGCATTATAGAATGTAATTTCCCTCCTTTTGATTTATAGTACACTTTCCCCAATGGCTTATATCACAGTGAATTTATATTTATATTGCTATCTTGGTTTACCATTATTTTTAGTAAACCACACAGCCTGGCTGGTAGATTTACTTAAAATGGCCCCTAGGTATTTCAACAGCTAAACTAATGTGGATAAAGTCCAAGAGATTCTCTCTCTGGGATACTGTGCTAGCATTCTATGACACTGTAGCCTTGGGTCAAGTCTGATGGTGATGATTATCTTTTTTAATTGTCAGACTGTTGCCCATTGTTAAAATAATTCTGAAGTCTCCTTGCTGTGATACATTTATAATTAGTCTACTTTTATTTCTTTACTCCAATGAAGTTTAGTTTATTTCTTTGTTGTAAAATAGAATGATAAATATAGGGCACTCTTGGTCAAAGAATAGTACATTTAATAGTTGTGTTCCTCTCACGGCCTTCTTAAATTACATACAGATGATGAAAAGGTAGCTCTTCCTTTAATCTGGCCACTTTTTCATGCTATACTTCATGCTTCTCTTTTTCTCTTTCTATATATGTATACACAAGAAGTATTTTCTCATTTAGCTTCAGGACTTAGATTGTTAAAAACTCTGGAGAAACTTAATTAATTATCTTTTCAGTCCCTGAACTAAGTTCTAACTTCCAATTATTTATAGATATGTGGCCAGTATTTTCCATTGTTCTAATGAAATAAAAAGGTTTTTCACTGCATTTAAAAATTTTAAAGAAAAAGGACCCTGAGAGGCCAACATTGCCCTCATGAAAATGATAAACTTACACTCAAAGGTTCTTGACTTATATTGTTAATATTCAAGGAAAGAATGTGATCTTTGCTGCCCACATATATCCGGTCCTGATCTTCATCCATTAATAATATCCTGTAATCTAAAGGATGGTGGGATAGGCTGAAGTATTCAGAGGTCTTCGTTTCTCGAAGTTCTGCAATAGTGAAAAGAACAAGTGAAAACTGAGTAGTATTTTGGTTCTATTATTATATTATTTTAATGAAAATTACTTTTCATGAAAACTATGTTGAGTTACATTTAACAAAAGAGTCAAGATACATTCTTTCTGCAATAATAAAATCTTTTTAGAATAAGGTTATGTTAGTATTTTTATTTATTGCCTCTATGCTTCAGTAAAACATAAATAAAAGCTGTAATATTACAGTTTATAGTAATGCTATTTGATTATAAAATTATTCATGTTTTGCAAGAATCTCAATTCAGTTTTACTACTGGCTATTATCAGCTCAAAACTACTTAAAACAGATCAACTAAAAAATACAGTTAAGTGAGCGGACTGAACAAAATAACAAAAGCAATAACTTTGTGTGAATGTCTTCCTAGCCTCTCAACATTTTATTGTTGGACTCAATATTCATCATTTTAAGTTTGATATTTCTTATTCTAAATATTTACCTTACTTTGTCAACATAATTCAACAGTTTAATGCATTTTTCTATAAATTACTTGGAAACAAACAATTTTTCCTGTTATTACTCCTTCAGAAGGCAATGTCATTTAAATGACAGTATGCCTATGTATATATCAAGAAGAAAACTATGAATTTTCAGATGCTCTGAATTTTCAGGTTTTCAGTATCTTAATCATCAGTGACTCATGTTCATTTAACTTAATATAAGTTAAATATGTGCCTGAATTGAAGACAATTGATGCTCCATGAAAAATTTTTTAAATCAATAATCATTATAGCAGATTCAATTTGCTTTCTAGTCAAATGCTCCTTTGCACAGTTTAAGACTTTTCTATTCAAATGGTTCAGGATTTCTTTTTTTTTTTTTCACTTATGATCTTAAGAGTGACAAACTCTACCAAAGAGTCTGCTTTCAGGGATTATTGTTTCAGTGATGAACTATTTCTAAAGTTTTAATCATTGAATCACAAATACATTTCTGTAAGTTCTGATAGGCTGTGGTTTGACTCTAATTAAAATAGAAAATTATAAGAATTCTCATAGGAAGCCAATAACTATATTCTGTGAGCACTTGGGCCATATTTCACACGTGTAGAGAAGTCACAAATATAACCTGTTTTCTGGTCACACCAGTTCAGAATTTCTGCCATAATATCCTTAAAGTAGTTTAATATCTAACTAATAATCTGAAAATGCCCAGGGAGTAGCATAGTGATCAGAAAGCCTAGCTGTGACTCCAAACTTCCTGTGAGATTGAACAAATTACTTAACTTCTCTGTGCCTTGATTTTCACACTTATAAAAATAAATAAATAACAAATAATAAAAAACAGTAATAGTACTGTCTATGGAGAGTTGCCATGGAAATTAATTGAATACCTGTAAATACTTGAAATGAGTGACAGATAAAGTATTCAATAAATCCTATGATTATTACTGCTAGTATTATCAGGTTTTAATCACTGATTATAAGAATAATATACGGAATTAAATAAGTACATATTTTCTTTTTTCTTTTTTTAAAATCTAAGGTGCTAGATCCCTAAAATTACTAGTACATGATCCTAAAACATAGGCTCTATTACTCTGTCCATACAATGATAGTAAAATGTAGAATTTTTAAGTGGAAGAAATCATTAAGAAGCTAGAAAAAATTGTTTGGGAATCTTGAGAAGTAAATCATGAGAAGAGGCAAGAACGAAAGACTGAAAGATGATTTAAATGAGATAAGATGACAGATTTTTGTAAATGGAGGATTTGGGAGGCTGAGCAGTGCAGCATGCCAACCTAGTTCTTGAGCCTCACCAGGCATCAGGTGATGCTTTTTGTTGGCAGCTGTGGTGCCCATGGCCCAGAAACGAGAACAACTTCCTTCAAGAGGAGAGCAAGAAGGTGGATGTCATTCCAGAAAAAAGTCAGCCCCTGCTAGACTAGATGTTATGGCTCAAGTAGCAAAGAATATCCAAGAGCTGAGAACATCAGAGAGAAAATGGAATCCAACAAATGTCACTCAAAGGGTGAAGAAGGGCTGCCTTGTCTTTGCATAAAATCCAAGGTGTTTACAAAGCTTGCTTTTCATCCTATGGAGGAGATTCATGTTTGTGCAATTTTTCTGCAAAAAAAACAAGAGTAGGGTATAGCTTAGAGTACAGAATAAATATCCCACAAATACCTTGTGAATAAGTAACTCTCCAGTAACATAGACTATAGAAGTAAAATGTGACTGAACTTATGGCCTCTGGGGCCCAACCCCTACAGTGTGAATCCTGGCTGTGCCATTTCATTTCTGTATGTGGTTGGCAAGTGCCTTTATCCCTCTGGACTCCAGTGTCTTCATCTCTAATGTCAGGATAACAAGAGCACCTACATCATAGGGGTATTGTGAGGTTTAAAGTGTTAGCATACATTAAGTGCTTACAAGAGTGCCATCCTATAGTAACATAGGTAACATTATCATGAACTGGGACAAGACATCAAGCTTCAGGAAGCAGAGTAAAAACATCTCCTTACACAAGGAGAAAATATGGTGGACTAGACTGACTGATTTATATTTATTAACATCGTTAATATATTTTGTTTCACATGTAGAATCTATTCAAATTCTTTGATCAGGAGAGTAAAATAATGAAATAAATATCTGTAAGGAAAACAATTTCAGGGTGCAAGATAATTTTAGAGTATGTGAGACTGGAAAACTAAGAGGTGCTGTTTCAAGTCTGATGTTGATAAAGCCCTGATATGCTAGAAGTGGAAAGGAAGAGTTGATGTGAGGAATATCTAAAATAAAGGATTTGGAATGATCTTATATGAAGTTGGTCTGGGGTTTAAAGGAAATGTAAATGAGTGCCCCCCAACACTGTAAACTAAAAACAGGAGAAATGAAAATGCTTTTACTACTTTTGGGGGATTCAAAAGAGAAATTATTTTGGCAGAGATTACTTGAGTGTTGATAGGGTAAATTCAAATCAAACATGTAAAATTAGATAAGTAATTTGCCATTATAAATAACATATCTGCAGGCGGATATTTTCAATTTTTCACATGGATTATGTGAAGATCTGAGAGTAGATGTCTCTGAGGAAGCTCTGTGTAGAAGTTCTGAAGAAGAGTAAATCCAAGGTGAAAAGCAAAACACACTGATGCACTGATTGATCCAAAGAGAGTAGCTTTGTAGTTGAAACTACAGTGAGTCATGATGTACAGCGAACAGTGTGGTATTGTGGAGAAATACAAAATTATAGTCAGACACTTCTTTTTTTTTTTTTTACTGAAGAATCATTTACATACCATCTTATATTGGTTTCAAGTATACAACACAGTGGTTCAACAGTTACTCATATTATATCCTCACCCTGACTAGTGTGGTTACTATCTGTCAACATAGGAACATGTTACAGAATCACTGGCTATATTCTCCATGCTGTACTACCATCCCTGTGACCAACTTATATTATGATTAAGAATATTTGTGTCCTTTTATCCCCCTCACCCTCCTCCCCACCAAAACCCCAATCCTTCCCCTATGGTAACCAACTGTCACTTTTCAGTGTCTGAGTCTACTGCTATTTTGTTCATTATGTTTTGTTTTGTTTTTACATTCCACAAGTAAGTGAAATCATATGGTATTTGTCTTTCTCTGCTTGGCTTATCTCACTTATCATAATACCTTCTGGGTCCATCCATACTGTTGCAAATGGCAGAATTTCTTTTTTTTTATGGTTAAATAATATTCCATTGGGTACAAGTACTACCACTTCCTTATCCATTCATCTACTGATGGACATTTAGGTTACTTCCATTACTTGGTTATTGTAAATAATGTGGCAATAAACATAGGAGTGTATACATCTTTTTGAATATGGGATTTTGTTTCCTTTGGGTAAATTACTAGAAGTGGAATCACTGTATTGTACAGTATTTCTATTTTCACTTTTTTGAGGAAGCTCCACACTGTTTTCCACAGTGGCTGCACCAATTTACATTCCCACCAACAATGTAAGAGGGCTCCACTTTCTTCACATCATCAACGACACTTGTTGTTTCTTGTCTTTTTGGATAGTGTTCATTCTAACTGGTGTGAGGTGACATCTATCATAGTTTTGATTTGCATTTCCTGGATGATTAGTGATGTGGAGTATCTTTTCATGTGCCTATTGGCCAACTGTAGTTCTTCTTTGGAAAAATACATGTTTAGATGCTCTACCCAGTTTTTAATTGAGTTATTTGATTTTTGGTGTTGGGGCATATAAATTCTTTATATATTCTGGATGTTAACCCCTTATCAGATGAATTGTTTATGAATATATTATTCATATTCTACATTGCCTTTTTGTTCTGCTGATAGTGTCCTTTGCTTTACAAAGCTTTTTAATTTGATTTGGTCCTAACTATTGATTTTTTTATTTTGTTTCCCTTTCCCAGAGATGTGTGCAGTAAAAAATTACTCATGCTTATAATTCGAGAGATTTTTTACCTGTTTTCTTCTAAGAGTTTTGTGGTTTCATGCCTTATTTAGGTTTTTGATCCACTTTGAGTTTAATTTTGTATATGGAATCAGACAATAAACCAGTTTCATTCTCTTGCATGTAACTGTCCAGTTTTCTCAACATGAATTATTGAAAAAGCTGTCTTTTCCCCACTGTATATTCATGGATCCTTTATTGTATGTTAATTGGCCATATATGTGTGGGTTTATATGAGGGCTCTCTATTCTGTTTCACTGATTTATAGGTCTGTTCCTGTGCCAGTACCATAATGTTTTGATTACTGTACCTTTGTAGAATAGCTTAAAAGTCAGGGAGGGTAATACCCCTGCTTTGCTTTTCTTTTTCAAGATGGCTTTGTCTAATTGGTGTCTTTTTTAGTTCCATATGAATTTGCTCCAGTTCACTTAAAAATGCTGTTGGTATTTTGATAGGGATTACATTGAGGCTCTAAATTGCTTTGGTCAGGGTGGCCATTTCAATAATATTTATTCTTCCTATCTATGAGCATGAGATAGAT